AACTATTACAGTTCATTCTAGAACTATAGTACTGTTATAGCTCATTCTAGAAATTATGTAATAACATATTATAGTTCATTCTATTAGATAGAAACAGTTATAATATTAATTTCAATTAGTTCCTCGTAATCTTCGATTTACATAATTTGTCATAACTAACAGGCTCGATTGGCAAAGCGCTGGCAAAATATGACCCGGCTCGAACGAAGTTTTACCATGCAGCGAAAACGATGCGCGCGCGCAGGGAACGCGCTCACCAGATATTTGTCTGTCGAAGCTATTTAGAAAAGGTAAGATAAGATTTTGCCTAATTAGGCTTCGCTCGCGGAACTTAGAATTGGAGATTTCTTAATCGGTAGACTCCGTAGATAGACGGCGAATTGATGTCGGTCGAAGTAAGCGAGTAAGAATGCTCGGTGATTCCTGGCAACACGGAAAGACATTCCATCGGCTATTGGATAATCCACGGGGCCCGCTAATCACAAGCATCGGACGGAGAAGCGTCCGTTTATCGTTCTTCCGCATTTGTAGCAGCGACCGCAACATTTTCCATTCACGAATCGTAGAAACTTCGAACGACGAGGAAGAAGCCCAAACTTCTCGCGAACGAACAAGGATATCGTCGCGAGAGACCGGCGAAACGGCAGCAGACAAATCTTTGCTTAACCTTTTAAGTACGGCTGAATTCTGCGCGAGGCTATTTCTCTGGACGGCAGAGTCTGATGTACGCAATCCGAAGGTGGCGGGTTCCTCGGGCCATTTGAAGCAACTTTTTCCTTTACAAAAATTTTCTCCGATGCACCGTTAACGAGCTATTAACGAAAAACGCTGGCCAATGAGCGGCGAGTTCTACCGACAGGAGGCGGCGCAGCCAACGAGCGCGCGAAGCCCGATCGACTGCGCCGCCTCGCGGCAGCCGAGCTCGCCTCTCATTGGCCACTGTTTTTCGTGGATAACTCGCAAACGAAGCCACGGATTGCATTTTCGCTGAGGAAAAAGTTGCTTCGAATCGCCTCTAGATTCTACTTAGCTGCATCGGAAGTTATTTACGGCTCGACCTAATAATTCCGAACTACGATCGGACAGAGGCTATACTATCGCATCGCGATCATATTTCAGAATTATAGTTCTACGACATCCTGTACATAGATCCTGTTCGTGTTCGGCCACGATTGTTCGCAGCCAGCTTTTCTGGAGTGTCGAAACGGATTGCGGGGGATCGCTCAGCTGGTGTCGGGCGAGTTTCCCGACCCCGTCGACTCTGGATCTTTATCTACCGATAAACCACGCGATAAACGAAACGAAAAAAACGGTGGGGAGGGGGAGGGAGAGAAGGCGAAAGAGAATCCGCGTCGCGTCGCCGCGACTCCGCGAACGCTCTCTCCGGTCGCGTTCCTCGCGTTCTCCAAAAAAAAAGAGACGAACGAACCCCCGCGTCCCGAGGCGGGAACGCCGACGAGCGGAATCGAATTTTTGTAAATGTCGACAACGCCGTCGTTCCGACGCTGGGAACTCCCGCTTTATGCATATCCGATGGCGCGCCGAGGCAGCCGCGATTGAATTGTAAGCAGGAAGACACAAGGACGGAATGTATCCACCTTGCAGAAAATATTCCGCCGGTTGCGAGGCGGACCTAACCGGCTGAGACACCGTTTCCTTTTCCGATTCCTGTTCCTATTCGCGGCTCGATTATCGGCCCGCTCGTCGGTGACGGTCAATTATCGACTAATCAGCGTCGGCGGCTTTGTTTCTAGACAGCTGCGCGCTTGACTTTCTACGAGCTTCTGCTCTAATTGGGTCGGCTCGATTCGCACGGCGCCGCGTTTGACTTCTTGTTTTGTTGTTCGTGCGTTAGTTGTTTTCACTTCGATCGTGGCCGGCTCTTGCGCGATCGCTGGACTGTATCGATATTCGCGCGGTCGCGATGCCCGCGCGAGTTTTGCAAGCCGAATGCAAATCGTGTGCTCACAGAAATTAAGGGATCTAGATTGAGAAGGTAACGTGGAAATTATAGTGTAACGTACAGATAATTCGATGCTAAAATATCTTATGTGTTTTATGATTATTTAATGTTAAAGCATATTGTATGTTTTATAGTAATTCAATGTTGAAACATATTATATTATTTACGATTATTTAATGTTAGACTATATTATATGTTTTATGATAATTCAATATTAAAACATATTATATTATTTACGGTTATTTAATATTAGACCATATTATATGTTTTATGATAATTCAATGTTGAAACATATTATATTATTTACGATTATTTAATGTTAGACTATATTATATGTTTTATGATAATTCAATATTAAAACATATTATATTATTTACGGTTATTTAATATTAGACCATATTATATGTTTTATGATAATTCAATGTTGAAACATATTATATTATTTACGATTATTTAATGTTAGACTATATTATATGTTTTATGATAATTCAATATTAAAACATATTATATTATTTACGGTTATTTAATATTAGACCATATTATATGTTTTATGATAATTCAATGTTGAAACATATTATATTATTTACGATTATTTAATGTTAGACCATACTATATGTTTTATGATAATTCAATGTTAAAACATATTATATTATTTACGATAATTTAATGTTAAATACGTTACATCCACGTGTGACCCTACAATTGTAATCCCACAGTTGGTCGCTAATTATTATTGAGCGGTCGCGACATTAAATAAATAAATCGAACGAAAGAAAAATTTCGCGGAATCGACGAAGATAAAAATTTGCATAAAAATTCACGGTTTAGCGATCGCTCCTTATGAATCGTATCACGACCATCGTATCGGATCTTCGCGTATCTTCAGGCTGCGTAGGAAATTATGTCGCTTCGTAAAAAAGCGCTCCGTTTTTCTCTGCGAAATGTACGGCGTCCTGGTCTGTTTTATTTTTCGAATTCTTTATGCTTTCTTTTATAGGTCTATCAGTACGTATTGTTTCTCGGTGAACATTTCGGAAAACTCGTATTTTATTAATTTTCGAATTCTTTATATTTTCTTTTCTTTCCTTTTTTGGACGACTCGTACGCGAACGATTCTAACGCGTTCCACGACGGCGATTAGCCGCAGGCTATCGTCTTCGAATCGAAACAGCTTTGTCATCGGGATCCAGATTAGAATACGTCGAGCGTCAGAAGCGATTCGAACAATATCGAAGCAGACGCGGTGTTTCCTGGCCGCGCTCCTCCGCCATCGAATGTCAATTTCACGCACAATTCGACTGTAAACAGGCGAACAAGAGACGCAAACGGCTTAGTCGCCGAACAAACGTTCCTTTGAGTGTAATGCTAATATTTCTTCTACGACGATCAGACGTGATCGAGCGGAATTTCCATTTTGCTGATAATTTATTCGACTCCGGCGAACCGGTCGATGCAAATCACTTTTATTAAGCGGCGCGAGCGAGAACGCGCGAAGTTTCCAGGATAGAAAAATGCTTTTACCAATTGTTGCCGAAGCGGAAACGCGAGTGACGGAGGAAAGAACGTATATTTCTCTGATCGTTTCGAAAAGATAAACGGGAAAATTGTTTAACCCCCCGAACGACGCGGATCGCTGTAGAATATTCGATATTTACCCGCGTATATAAACATATATAAACAAACAAATAAAATAAGCAGATCAAATAACAATCGTCTGCCACGATTGCAAAACAGTGGAAGCTAAATGGAACGTTCTTCCTTTCTTTTAATAATTATAATAATTCTAATTTCTAATAATTCTATCAGATTGTTATAATTCGTCGACTTGAATATAATTTCTAAGTTCTTTTAACAATACTTTTGCTATTTATTTATCGGTCTTCCCGTCCAGTTTCTAGCTTGACAAACATTAATTTGATGGAATTGACGAATATTGAACAATTCGGTGACCCATTTGAATGGATCGAGTCGAAACGACCCGGTAACCGCAATCCGAGGGTTGAAAAACAATACCATAAACACGACGAGACGTAAACACAGATTTAAGAATCATCTGCTCGAACTTGCAGAACGTCGTTGCTGTCTCTTGGTAGTCCTCTTACTTCGTCGAACGATCGCCGGCTCGACGAACGATTTTTCACTGAACTAGTTAATGATCTTTGATCGACGAAATGATCTTCCACCGAATGAAACCTAATCTAGAAATATCGGCCGAAATAAACTCACGTTCCAAGAAAGGATGAGCGATTCTGTCGAAAAGACCGATCCTTCGATCGATTCGCTAGAAAATCGAAAATCGAAATCGTGAAAAATCAATTTCCATCGATTATTTATAATACTAAATGGCTTATCGATTCGTTCGGGCACTCGATTTTGTAAATTGGACCTAAAATGCAATTCTTATGGCACTTTAAAACCGATTCACGTGATTACGCTTCGACTATTGTTAATTCCTCCTTTTCCAATATCCTGAACAAATAAATAAATAAATAAATATTCCAATCTAATTTAAAAGAATACTCGTTGCACTTTAAAACCGATTTAAGAGATACACTTCGATTATTATTAATTCCTCCCTTTCCTGAACAAATAAATCAATAAGTAAATAGTCCAATCTAATTCAAAAGAATACTGTAATTGGTATTCCGATGGTGTTACAAATAGACCGCGGATTTTATTCGCTTATTCGAGAAATCAACTACGCGAAATTATCAACGGTGAAAAGCTAACAAAAATATTTCAGTCATTCTCTGACAATCAAAATCATCGACGAAAGAAAGAAAGTTCTGCGCAGCTCCTTTATCATACTTAATCGACTTAAAACATTTTCATTTCGCGGTCTATACTTGCAAATGTTATATACACCTACTATTTCAATCGAACAACTTGATTTTCATTTATTAACCAATCGTTCGAATCCGATGAACTTAGAAAGGCGAAACGGTTGTGCGACCATTCGAACAAACGCGTCGCGGCATCGAATCGAAGATCGTTTCGCGATAAAAAGAAAGGTCGGTTCGTTTCAAAATCGAGTTACCCAAGAGATCCGTTCCCGAAGAGCAAATCGACAAATCGCTTCTTCGGAGAACGACGCAGAATCGCCCACGCCTGTCCCCGGATTTCCCCGAACACCGTCAGAACACTGTCAACGAAACCGCGATCGGCCGATTTTCACTCGAACTCGAGGAGGAATCCTCGGCTCGCTTCGAATCCGCGGAACCAAGGATCGACGTTCGTATTCTCAGTCGGTGCTCGCGCAACACACTGTCGTCGGCCCGACGTAAACACTTCTCCGTTACCGAGATCCACGAGCACGACCGACCGATCGGCCGGTCGGCCAATCGAGGTGTTACACGCCGATCGGTAAACAATCGGCGCGGCGCCTCTCGATCACGGTCACTTACGTCTCTCCGGTGAACTTCGATAGCGGCGGATCGATGGATCAGCACTTCCGGCCTGTTCACAGGTTTATTACGAAACCTGTCGCACTGTTGTACACCTGTTGTCCGTCGTGCCGACGACGTCGGGAGCGTCGCGCGCGGCCGGCGACGGGTCGCGAGCACGCGGAACCGATCGTCGATCGGCGTCGATCGCGGATCACGCGGTCCCCTGTCGCCGTCGGCGGCGTCCCATCGGCGAAAAGTCGACCGGTCGGAAAGTCGAGAAATCGGTTGGAGCCACGGATCGGCGGCGAACGGCCGAGCGGGCCCGACGCGGGCCCGACGCGGACACCGAACGGCAGCGAGGAGCGTTCGCCGCGCTCGGTTCTTCTTCTCTCGTCGTCGGCTGACGCACTTCCCGCCGCTTCGTCCCGGGCCCCCGGAGACCGAACAGACAACACCGGTTCGCGATTTCTGCGCGCTCGTCGACGGACGGTCGGAGCCCGACTGTTCCCAGCGCACCGTGAGCAACGACCACGTGGACCGTAGGCAATGCCTCAACATCCGCTCGCGGATATGCATTTATAGGCTCTCGCACACGCGAGTGCCGCGGCCGCGCGCGCGTGTCTCCGCTGCTGCCCAAACGGTCCCCTCCGACGGTTCCGTCGTTTCCGCGGGCCTTTCGTCGGTCCGCGTCCCTCGCCTCCTGCGCCTATGCCTCTCGCCTTCTCGCCGAGTCGTCTCTTCGCTCTTCGCGCGTTGCTATTTCGCCGAGCGTAGACCGATCTTCGAGCAGCCGTGACAGAGCCGTCGGTCCTTGGGACGCAACCGGCATTAGTTCCGCTGTTCCCAGGGAAATAAGTTACGCGAGGAGTGGGGCAGGCGACGCATGCGCCGAGAGCCCCGCGCGCTGCGGCGTGGCGCGACTGTACGCTGCCATCTATTGTATCGTGTTGCACCTTGTGCGCATCGTTGTTTCTTTTGTGCTTTTTGGTGTTTTTTTTGTTTAAGATCATGTTTCTTCTTCGATCGGATTAACGCTAGACCTACGGAACCCGTCAAAATGGCGGGTTCTGATTAATTTCTTCGTTCGCGATTATTCGCATCGTAAAGATACGTTTACGAGTTATTCAGTCAATTTATATGTTACTTACGGCAAACGTTACCGTGACGTTCGTTCAAAATTAGGGCAAATGTCTTATTGTTACTTTTGCGAATCGATATGAAACAGCTGTTTTCTTTTTCGTGCTCCGTGAATCTAGCGTTAAGCGATTTGAACGGCGAATTTCAACCACTATTTTAACTATCTCTCAACGTGACACAACCATAAATGCGCAAACGATTCAACCGACGGGGCTGCATCGAAGCTGCCGACGCAACGTATCTGGATTTTAAGTTCGATCCACCCTCGTTACTATAACCCTTTAAATGCGAGACCATGTTCGTCATATTGAGAATCTCGATTTTTGTCAAGTTCGACGAAATGCCCGGACTTCGGAAAAATTTTTGCGGGGATGCCGTTTACAGGCGAACAAGGTTCGATTCTTCCCCTTCAATTTGACATAAAAGAATCGCGTCTGCGATTTTTATTCGCAGAGTTACAGCACTTTTAAGTAAACCTTGCAGTTTTGGCATGAAATCAGAGGTTATATTAACATGGGTTAGTTGAAGGGTGAATTTAAAGTGCTGCAACTTTGCGAGAAAAAATCGCAGTTGGGATTCTTTTTTTTTTAAATTAAAGAGGAGGAATCGAACTTCATTCGACTGTGAATGGCATCTCTGTCGTTCAAGGCGTTTCGATACGTAGACGGTAGACGACGCGTTACGTAGAAATATAATTGCAGCAGGAATGATAATATCGAACCTATTAACAGCATGACGCGCCACGTCCTGCATCAATGTGCTATGGAAAACGCCGATGCTGAGGAAACAGAGCCGTCGTCGCGGCTTTCGATGCGCTTTCTTCCGCCATCGTGATTTCGATTGTGAACGCGAAACCCCATAGGAAACGGCGATCTGCTAGACTGCGGATAAAAATTGGCCGACTTCGAGCGACGATACCTCCGCGAAAAATCATCGCTGGATGACGATCCTTTCTTTAAATTAAAGTTTGAAACTTCTACTTTAAGATAGTTCTTCCAGATTTTAAGTTTGATCCATCCTCGTCACTGTAACCCTTCACATGCGAAGCCATGTTTGACACATCGGAAATCTCGATTTTCGCCAAGTTTGACGAAATTCACGGACTTTCTAAAATTTTTTTCAGACATGCCATTTACAGTCGAATGAAGTTCGATTCCTCCTCTTTAATTTAAAAAAAAAGAATCGCCACTGCGACTTTTTCTCGCAAAGTTGCGGCACTTTAAATTAACCCTTCAACTAACCCATGTTAATATAACCTCTGATTTCATGCCAAAACTGCAAGGTTTACTTCAAAGTGCCGTAACTCTGCGAATAAAAATCGCAGACGCGATTCTTTTATGTCAAATTAAAGGGGAAGAATCGGACTTCGTTCATCTGTGAACAGCATCTCCGAAAAAAATTTTCTGAAGTCCGGGCATTTCTTCGAACTCGGCAAAAATCGAGATTTTCAATATGACGAACATGGTCTCGCATTTAAAGGGTTATAGTAACGAGCGTGGATCGAACTTAAAATCCAAATACGTTATTTTAAAGTAGAAGTTTCAAGCTTTAATTTCAAGATAGGATCATCATCTCACGATGATTTTTCGCGGAGATATCGTCGGTCAAAGTCGGCCAATTTTTATCAATTCGTCTATGCAACAATCTTTTTTTGAGCAATGTATACAGCGCTAAAATTAATGTTCTAATTAGGGCAAATAACATTCCGTCACCCACGCACGGTCCACGAAACTGTGTATTTCTTTAGAAAACGGAACGTCTAATTCGTTGCAAATTTTACGTCGCTTCTTGTACTTTGTTGGACCCCGATTTTAGATTCAGTATAATTCATCTATGAACGGACGACGGCAAAATGGCCGAACTCGGCGAAACAGCGACCCATAAAACGAAAAAGTGGCATGATATGGGTGCGCCGCGGGTGTCCGCGGCTCTTTAAGCAGCGCCCATTATATTTCTATGGGAATCGAAACGTCCCGGCATGCCAGTTAGAAGATGCAGCACGGCACATCCCTTCAAGGTGAAGCTTCTTGGTTCGAGGAACGCGCGCGGAAATTGCGATATCTTCGGCGTGCGGGAACGTCTGCGATTTGAAATTGAAATTTTCGCCCATCCAGCGAACTCGCGTGTTTCCTACGACACGGTTCTCAGACCGTTTAAGGCACTTTATCGTTCGATCTGAACACCTTATTTGCCGGATGCCTATTAATAGGCGTACCGAACTGTATCCGAAAGAAGCTCGACCGATTTTCTTTCAGCAATAATTTCGGGAGGAACTGTTATTGTTGTATCAACGGACTGTTATGTCCATCATGCGTGGGTGACGGATATTATTTGTCCTAATTAGGACATTAATTTTAGCGTTGTATACACTGCTCGAAAAAGATTGTGGCATAGACGAATGGATAAAAATTGGCCGACTTTGACCGAAGATATCTGCGTGAAAAATCATCGTGAGATGATGATCCTTTCTTTATATTAAAGCTTGAAACTTCTACTTTAAAATAACGTATCTGGATTTTAAGTTCGATCCACCCTCGTTACTATAACCCTTTAAATGCGAGACCATGTTCGTCATATTGAGAATCTCGATTTTTGTCAAGTTCGACGAAATGCCCGGACTTCGGAAAAATTTTTGCGGGGATGCCGTTTACAGGCGAACAAGGTTCGATTCTTCCCCTTCAATTTGACATAAAAGAATCGCGTCTGCGATTTTTATTCGCAGAGTTACAGCACTTTTAAGTAAACCTTGCAGTTTTGGCATGAAATCAGAGGTTATATTAACATGGGTTAGTTGAAGGGTGAATTTAAAGTGCTGCAACTTTGCGAGAAAAAATCGCAGTTGGGATTCTTTTTTTTTTAAATTAAAGAGGAGGAATCGAACTTCATTCGACTGTGAATGGCATCTCTGTCGTTCAAGGCGTTTCGATACGTAGACGGTAGACGACGCGTTACGTAGAAATATAATTGCAGCAGGAATGATAATATCGAACCTATTAACAGCATGACGCGCCACGTCCTGCATCAATGTGCTATGGAAAACGCCGATGCTGAGGAAACAGAGCCGTCGTCGCGGCTTTCGATGCGCTTTCTTCCGCCATCGTGATTTCGATTGTGAACGCGAAACCCCATAGGAAACGGCGATCTGCTAGACTGCGGATAAAAATTGGCCGACTTCGAGCGACGATACCTCCGCGAAAAATCATCGCTGGATGACGATCCTTTCTTTAAATTAAAGTTTGAAACTTCTACTTTAAGATAGTTCTTCCAGATTTTAAGTTTGATCCATCCTCGTCACTGTAACCCTTCACATGCGAAGCCATGTTTGACACATCGGAAATCTCGATTTTCGCCAAGTTTGACGAAATTCACGGACTTTCTAAAATTTTTTTCAGACATGCCATTTACAGTCGAATGAAGTTCGATTCCTCCTCTTTAATTTAAAAAAAAAGAATCGCCACTGCGACTTTTTCTCGCAAAGTTGCGGCACTTTAAATTAACCCTTCAACTAACCCATGTTAATATAACCTCTGATTTCATGCCAAAACTGCAAGGTTTACTTCAAAGTGCCGTAACTCTGCGAATAAAAATCGCAGACGCGATTCTTTTATGTCAAATTAAAGGGGAAGAATCGGACTTCGTTCATCTGTGAACAGCATCTCCGAAAAAAATTTTCTGAAGTCCGGGCATTTCTTCGAACTCGGCAAAAATCGAGATTTTCAATATGACGAACATGGTCTCGCATTTAAAGGGTTATAGTAACGAGCGTGGATCGAACTTAAAATCCAAATACGTTATTTTAAAGTAGAAGTTTCAAGCTTTAATTTC